GAAATAATGTCCAGCTGTTCAAAAACAACTGGAACTACAACTGCAACCATCTCATGAATTGTACATCTGTGTCGAGTCCATCGTTTTCTCTCTCTCTCCTGTTTTCCACCCACAAAACACGCAGAGGGAGGGAGAGGCTGATGTGTCAAATCCTTCTTTGTACACTCTGGTTTGCACAGACATGCACAACAGTTCTCCAGATGGCCAAACAATTCACTCTGTGGACTTTTTATTTGTCTGTGATGCTTTTATTGAGAAACATTAGTTGAGCTCCCGTTTAAAGCCCAAAGCTCCTGTTGTCTGTATGATATGATGGAAGAATTATCCTTCTAAAAATACCCCAGAAGCTCATTTCCGTTTATATAATCTCCAAATATTTATTTAAGCTCGTTTACAATGTGATGTCTCTCTCTCACAGCAAAAATAATATGGACAGGCCCTCACAGGCTGCATGCAATGTTAGGATCTACTCTTGATCCTGTCATGCCTATAAAAGCCACCAGTCTGACAGAAGGGACTAATTATTTATTTTATTTGCTTGTTTTCAGCCTTTGTAATCCTTCCAACGATATCCCCCTGATGTTTATACTGCATATTATATGCTCCAGTGTTATGAGAATATGTAATGCAGCGTATTGTGGTGTGAGATGATCGTATACTCCTGTTTTTGAGGATTTCTAAAGAATAATTATAGGTGCGCTTTTTTTTTCTTTCTTACCTGTCTAATATTTTACTAAGAACTGTAATAGCATTTTTGTATAAATTCGAGTGAGTCTTAGGCCATGCTACATTAGCTTATGTCTCTGCACCACTCTGCAAGTATATCTATACAATACTAGATGGCAGTGTTATTACCATGCTATGCGGATCTGTTCAGACCTCAAACACTTTGCATTTACATAAAAGATGAACTTACGTTGTTGGTTTGCTTTGGTGAGGCTGAAGCAAAAGGCCAGAAGGAGGTGACTCACTGTTGTATAGAAATATAGGAAAACATGGGAAATATTGGAGAACAGCCCTTGATTTCTGAGCTCAGTGAACACTTTTCTGATGAGTTTATAGTCTCAATCACCAGTTTCAAGTCTTGCAGAATAGAACACAAATCAACACATTCCTTTTTTTTTTTTTTTTTTTTTAAATGGCTGTGGATCAGGAGGTAGAGTGCGTCCTGTACTAATCCAAAGCTTGGAGACCAAAGTATCATTGGGCAAGATAATGAAGCCTGAGTTGCTCCCAATGCATTTGTAACCGGACTTACGACTTATCATTAAGAATGACCGAACTCCACTAGCCAGTAGCAGAAGATCTAGGATCGGCAGGAGCCCAAGGTATAAACACCAATAAGGAGAGACCACACCACAATAGACTGTTCACAAATTTATTATATTTGACACACAGCAGCTGCAACAATGTAATGAAAAAACAATAAAATAAAATACAAAATATTTCCCCCAAAATAACAAACTAAATAAAAGTGCGCGCATACAGCTTTCTCTGAGTCAATTGTATGAATGGACAATGTCTGGTAACTGATGGATCGTTGGGGCCCGTTCAGTTTGTTTAACGTTTGTCCTACCACACTCCGATGAAGGAAGAAAGTTCGTAGTCCTGCAGGTATCTGAAGCTTCAATGGTAACGAAACTTTGGCTTCAATAAAACCTTGGCAAATCCTTTTCAATTTCGGGTTGGCTCGCCATCCAGTTAACTGGAACTGTGGAATCACTGCTCCTCGATGGGGCTTGCTTCAGACTGGGTCCGTCTGTCGAGTCATCCGTTGACAGGGTGAAACTCTGAACAACCAAAAACAACTGCAGCAGACTTGCTTTTAACTCCTAGCGATTCGACTTCGGGAACATTAGTTTCTCTGGCACATGGCATTATATGAACAGGAACGAAAATGGCAACACAGGAAATCATGTGATCAAGGTCAACAGCAAGGGTCACTGGGAGCTCATTGCTGATTGGCCAAGTTAAATGACAACAGATAATCTTATTGGTCCACATCTTCCTTTAAACATAAAAGAAAAAAAGAAATGACTAAATTCTTTACATTATACATGAAAAAAAACTACTTTCCACTGCTCTTTTTTTCTAGCTGGGCTACACATTCGTCAGAGACTGAATGTTAGAAGACAAAACACACCTAGATGTAGACAGAAATAAGGCCCAGGTGCCAATCTGCAGCTTCCCCAGCTTTCCTGTCAGTTCACAAAAAGAGAAAAAAACTTAGATCCTTTGTAATATGCCTTCACTAACCACTGGTTAGAGCTGGACCTGAGAAATGTTGAAAAGCAGACGCTTTCGCTGATTTTACTGCAGCAGTTGACTGCAAAGATGGGTAAAATTGTGAAAATAAAGATGTATGGCAGATTTTAGGCTAGTGCATTACAGTGAGCAAGATATAGACATATGTAGTATGCGTTCATGCTTCATTCATTCATGTGGTATTCATAGTCAGTAGTGTGAAGACTAGAACACTATTCTTTCCATTTTTTGTTTTTCCTTTCCATTTTGAATTTCCTCTAATCTTCTTATGGGAATCGAGCAACATAAGGGAGTATAAGTAATAAGTATTTGACGGCCTGAGATGGTGGTAACGAAACAGAAAGCAGCCTAATGTCAGAAATGAAAAGTCTTGGATGTCTCCAGAACAACTCCTTCCTCTTCCTCATTTTAACTCATCTTGGCTGCTGTTCCAGGCTGACAGAATGTCTCGAGAAACGTCATGGAAAAGTTGCAAGCTAAAGGGGAAGGTCACAGCTCTGAAGGATCTGAACACTTTCCATGTTCCCTCCTCCGCTACAGCTGTGTTTATTGTGAGTACTGCTTAATCTCACAGCAGAGAAGAAGAAGTGAAACAACTTACCAGCTAAATCACAAGACGGAATGGCAGGATAAAGAGCATGTGCACTTGCTCCAAACATCTGGTTCAAGGCATATGGTGACGGTTAGCTGTTGTAGACTCGTGAAGTGTTGATCGCTGGTATTTTCTTCTGTCGGCACGCCAGTTCATTTCACGATTGGTGCAGTGGTTTAAAGACTGTCAGCATCTAGGAAAAGAAGCGGTGCCTAACATATGACGAAACAAAGACATCTTTAACTTGGAGTTTGGCCAATTTTAAGCTTGTTTAAGTTGAGCATGAACATCTCCTAGCATGAATTTGTCTTGTTGCATAGACTTTTATAAAAAGATCCCCACATAGCTGATCTTCTTCTTTTCTTTATTTATTTAAAGAAAAAAAATTGCAGCCATGCAGTGTGATGCAGAAAACAACATTTGTATACAACAGGAAATTCCAAAAGCTCAGTCATAAGCGCTGGGAAAGAGCACAGACATGAATATTTCACATAAATATTAGAGGAGTATTTGCACACAGCAGATCTATTAGCAGCTCGCCAGGACATGTTGAATGAGAACACAGCTACACTTCTTTTATCCTCCCCATACTGTCAGGAAAAGATCCCAGTTCGTGCCCTCTGAATGCCCACAAAGCAGCGCAGTCATCTAAGGACACGTTCCCAGTGTTGGTACTGTGAGTCAGCCACATGCCACTCATCGTGGTAGCCTCCAGTGACTGAGGGCTAGGAGTGGTGCTCTAAACAAATTTCATTTGACTGGTCTCAGGTTTTCAACCTTGAGAGAAAAAAACATGCACAGTTCTGCAGCATGCACTGAATAATTAGGAAGTGTTTAGACAAGAATAGGAAGAATTTACTGCATGTCTGTGATTCCAGACAGTGTGTTGCACAACCCTGACCACTTGCTTGATGATTAGAAAAAATGTTTCCTCTTGGTTTTGAGAAGTCTCTGTGACCTCTTTCAGGATCTGGCTGCAATCAGAGGCTCAGTTTTTCCTCCTGGTAGTGTCTGATGTTGACTGGCAGTATACTGCGATTGTCTTTCTTGACTGCCAGGAGAGCCCCTTTGACAGAAGTAGGAACCACTCCTACAGTGATTTCATTTGTTAGTGACCCAGTTATTTCTTAGTCTCCACAAATAACTGTCTTCAGTGTTTTTTCCATTTTAACGGCTTTGAAATAGGAGGACTGGAAAAGTCAAGTGTTTAATGTACCAGCCTACTCGATTAACGTGCTACATAAGAACCAGTCCATTCCTTTTCTGTTGATAAAGTCTGTATTGGTATAGTTTGCCTACAGTATGTCCTTCCTCTTTCTTATCATTCTCTGGGAGCAGATTCATGAATTTGGTCTTTGTGGAGGGTCTTGGAACAGCGGGTGTGAAATCAGCTTGTCAGTAAGGCTTCTTTGATTGCAGCTGCTGTCCTCCTTATATCAAGGAGTCTTCTTGTCTCTGACTGCTCTCTCTTTACCACAGGCTGTTCTTAGACAACCAAACCAAATCAGAGTTATAGCAAGAGCTAGAGCCCGTTCTCGGACTCATTCCAGTGTTGATAAGTCAATGAGTGCAGTACAAACAGGGCAGTTTGCTCAGTGCTGGTAGGAGAAGAGCATGATCAACACTGCAATACTCCAGATGTTTCAGTTTCCCACTGTTGCAAAGGAGAAGCAAAACCACCTCTATGAACTGTCAGCTAGACTCTGTATATGTTGCTCAATCTCATGTCACACGTGAAGTTTAGCCAGCGGCTTCTAGCTAAATCTAAGTCCTTCAGTTCTTAGACTTAGCCAGTAATCCACTCTTCAATGATATTCAAGTTTGCCAACAAAAGCATCTCAATATATTTCCAAAGCCATGAAATGAATCGCATAAAACTCCAATTTTTGCTTTTTATGAGGGTTGCTAATTATAGGGATCTATGTCCAGAAAACCTTTTACCCCACAGCTCTAAGAGGCCAATGGGGTGTTGTCATCACCCTGCTGGGCGTTCAGGTGGTATGGACGCCCAAAATTGAATGTGACCTAGGTGTTTCAAACTCAGAGCATCTGCTAAAAATATCTCTTATCACATACAGTGTCCGAGCTGCCTCGCTGTAACATTGTTTCTCTGCTGACCTGCTGTGTGTTCCTCTCACGGCAGGTCATGGTGAGTGTCACTGTGGGGAGTGTAAATGCCACGCCGGTTACATTGGCGACAACTGCAACTGCTCGACGGAGACATCGGGCTGCATTTCAGATGACGGGCAGATGTGCAGCGGGCGAGGCAGCTGTGTGTGCGGCCGCTGTCAGTGCACTGAGCCCGGAGCCTTTGGAGAAACCTGCGAAAAATGCCCCACTTGCCCCGATGCCTGCGGCACAAAGAGGTAAGTGCCGTGCTGCGGTTTATACCTGTGGTTTACACAGTCCAAGTTGGAGCTTTACCTGCTTGTTTGGGTTGCTAATATTCGCTGATAGATGAGAAATAAGGTGGAAAATTGAAACCTTCAGGCTGTCTGCAACTGTAAGCTCCAGGAAAAGCTCTAAGTAGTCTAAAACCAAGACCTCACATACCTCTCTCACTTGAAGACTGATCAGAAAACTCTTCCCATGCCTTCAAAGCTAACTCTCTTGTCATTTGTGACCTGAAGACATGAAACCATTTGTCTGCTGTTTGAACTCGGATCACTCCATGTAGCAGCTCGAGCTTTTGATGGAACTACAGTTTCCTCTCAACAGGCTTCCTGTGAGAGATAAAGTTTAGTTGACAAACTAATGTTGTTTTTATTGTGCAAAAGCGCAAGTGCTGGTCAGAACTGATTTAAAAACAGGATTTTTGCTTCCATAGTGGAAGTCAAAGGCATCACTGTGCATTTGCTGTGCCAGAGAATTGATGACATTTCTATAACTGGACAATCAGTGGTCCAATCCCTGCTTCTTTCAACCTCTGTGTCGAAGCATCTTCTGACATGATACATAGAACAAGTTTTGCCTAATCCATCCACTGGAGCCTGCTGGGCATAATGCTTAGAGGCATATAAGAATAGTGTTGTATCGATCTCTTTGTGAATGGGTGTCTTGTAGTAAGAAAGCGCTTTGAGCTCTCAGAATAGAAAACCATTTCTTTTAAGAACCAAATCAAGTTTAAAAGCAGCGTTTAACAAACTTGAAGCATCTGTGAAAGGTTCCTGTAACCTGCACCAGCAACAGTTCATGCACTCATCAGGTTCTTTGTTCTGTGTGCTGCACGGCTCACTTGCTGTTTAGTCACAGTTTGTAGTAGAGACAGTTCCAGTGTTTTAGCAGAGCACAGTGGGGCACTTTCGACAGCACAGTAACAATGTCATATGATTGGCTTTTGGGTTGAGTGATCTCTGCCTCCTGAATGTAGATATAAAAATGTATGCATATGTTTAGCGTGTCTTTGCCCTTCTCTGATTCAGGGAGTGCATTGAGTGCCGGCTTTTCAATTCTGGAAGGCTTGCGGACAATGAGACTTGCCAGCGACAGTGCAAGGATCACATCATCCCTGTGGAGACTCTCAGTGAGTAAACACACACACACACACACACACACACACACACACACACACACACACACACACACGCTAACACAGAGACCAACTTGCTGGCAGAGAAAAGTATTCACATCTGTAGCATCTGCAAAAGTTTCATTTTTCACATTCTGCATACCGTTTATTGTTGTTACTGTGGGACTTTGCTAAAGTAATTGTCTGACTCCCACTAATGAGGCACTATTAACACCTGATGTAATAAAGTACATTCAGATGCTCAACAGCCTGAATGCACGCGCAAGGACTTTTCCATTCCAGGAAAAACGATATTTTAAATATCAATACATAGAAGAACAGCTCGAAGTGATCTTCTACCTTTAAGCTTTCATGAGAAGCAGGATACATACACCAGACAGAAACGACTGAAGCAGCAGAGCTTGAAGCGGCTTAACTGATTAGCTGAAAGTGAAATAGTTGGCCATCTTTTATATACAGTCTATTTTAAAAACAAATTATAGGAAAATTCAAGTTTGTATTTTGGCAACAGAAGTGACCATTTTAGCAAATGGGGGGACTGGACTGTTTGATTGGACCTACAGTATTTTATTTCAGCCAAGAGTGCATTCGGCATGGACAGATGAAGTATAGTACATGTCGAGTCCTGACAGGTGTTTACGGGATTGTCTAAAGTAACGTTTTTAGTTCCAGGTACTTTGGATGGACATGTGACATGTCACAGCTGATTTAGATTTGTGCTGTGAGTCTCTGACTCTATGCAATAACCTGTAAAAGTAGCCAACTTTGTTACCAGCATTCATGCTTGTGCGTGTTGTTTCATGTGTGGTGCAGCCTCGATAAGAAACAAATAAAATGTTTGGTTCCCACTCTTTGTTGTTGTTTTGGTTTGGCTCTTTTTCATTTTCAGAGACAGACACATTTGTACTTCCCTCAGGTGCATTCTGATCGTTTCAGCAATCTCCCTCGAGGAATATGCCGACCACTGGGAATTCTTTTATCGAGGCTGTGATTGTTCTTCCTGTACTAGGACGATAGCCGTTATTCTTTTACTGATAAATTTAAAAACAGTGTAGTTACTTTTCCACGTCAGCTTACATCATATTATGTGGCAGGGTTTTGGAGCTTTCTGGTTCCAGTAGCTTAACACAGAAGTATAAATCCCCTGTTAGCATCTACAGGTGCTACAGCCTCTGAGTTTCTTTTCTAGTATGGCTGTCACCTCTGTTCCACTCTCTGTGGTTGTTTGAGGCTTTGCTGCTTGCACCCTTTCTTTTTTCACACCTCTGTGATTGCTAATGAAAGCACACCCAGTGCTCAGCGGTCAGGCTTGGCCTCATGTTCATGTTATTATGTGGAAGACGGCGGTCTGGACCTGTCGCAGCTCCACACAGCAGGCAGCTACACCATCTCGTCTACAACCCCTCATTTGGTTCAGAGTTCAGTCTATTTTAGAATCCAATCCTCCGCTGACACCTACCTTCTCTACAGGGAGAATCCACCCGCTAAACAAACCAAACCTGCAGTGCACTGCCTGTCTCGTGGTTCATTGTAAAAAGCCAGGGGACACCATCCAAAATGTTTGGCAGTGCATCTCTTTTTTTTCCTCACAGCCTGGTGCTGAACACTCGGGGGAAATGTGAAATGTTTTAAGTGACACTGCATGGCCTGAGTCTGTGTTTAGCCATAGAGACTATTATATTAGCATTCCATATTGGCCCAGCATGGCCCTGGCCCAGGTCTGATGTGTTTCATAGCATTCTCTGCTAGTTCAGCCATCTGACTGCCCTTAATGGTCTCCACATGTACATTCCAGATACTTTGTGCATGAACTAGAGGAGCAGGGGCTGATGGGAGGGGTGGACCAGGACGGAGTGACCTCATCCTCCCTTGTGAGGTTTTGAATCTGGTCAGATAATGATGATCGAATGCAAACAATGGCAAACAGAATGTCAGCATTTCAGTCAAGGCTGTCTTTTTTGTTGTTGTTGTTTTTAAATTGTGACTTCACAGCAGAGACATTGACCGATGTGTTAAACATTCATAAGTGGTTCCGTTTGCCCCTGAGCGTGAGATTCCTCTTGGATGTCTTTTGTTCCAGTATCTGAAGCCAAACCTTAATAGTTTTTTATAATATCAAAGTCTCGCTTTGTTAGAACAGCAGTAGAAAGTGAGAAACTTGCATTTATTGAAAAATGTGTCTGTGTTTTCTCCCACCTCCCATCTCTCTCTGTCGTGCTTAGAAACTGACGAGCCCGGCGCTGTGCTTTGTTTGTACAAGACAGACGACGATTGTGTCATGAAGTTCACATATTCTGAGCACGCCAGCGGACAATCTATACTCTCAGCTCTTAAAGAGCCAGGTCAGTGCTACAAACAACAATACATAATGTTGTCTTTCCTGGGTTTTTTGTTTTGTTTTTTAGCAGCACTTGTTGGTAAATTTGACAGCTGGTAATGATCAGATGCTTTTGGATTGTACGTAGGTATCAGCTGCTTGATTTTCACCACCATCTTTAAAGATTCTGGGTTCATTGCTCCCAACCTTACCTCACATTATTCCCCCTCAGTGGTTACAGACAATGAACCTGTCACTACAAAGGAAGCTTAAGAGTGTAGTACTGAGTGACTGCCATTCTATGTCCAGAGTCAGGGGTGTCGAATTTATTATTTTTGGTCTAATTTGTTTTTACAAATTGAACCAAAAACAACTAGAAATTTTCAGGCTGTACAGGTGGATTAAAACGGTCATATTCAATACAAACATTTGTTAACATTACTGTTACTCAAAATAAAAGACTGACTGCAGTGGGGGATGTCAACTGTTTCATGTTACCTGAGTTCGCTGTCTCCATTTACACACTGGCTCCAGAAAGTCCACACGTCTATTTTTAAGTGGGCAGAGTGACACCCTGGCCCTCTTGCTGTGTTTTCAGTGCCGCCTTAGCTGTGACTTAAGTTAAGTGAGCTTGTGTTAAATGTTGTTTCCTGTGCCTGCTTCAGAGTGCGTCAGGGGACCAGATGCCCTGATGGTGCTGGTGGCAGTGGTTGGGAGCATCTTGTTGGTAGGACTGTTGCTGCTCGCTGCCTGGAAGCTGGTCATCACTATCCACGACCGGCGTGAGTTTGCCCGCTTCCAGAGCGCCCGCTCGCGTGCCCGATATGAAATGGTAAGGATGAGCCTAACTCATGAGTATTACAGCCCCATCATGTATACTAGCAATAAACTGAGGCTCATAGTTTGAGGCTGAAAAACCTCAGCACCTTCTATGTAGGTGAGATAAACCAAGCCAGTCAAGTAAAATGGGCCCTTCAGGTATTAAAAGTCTCATCTCTCTCCCCCTCAGGCCTCTAACCCTCTGTACAAGCACCCCATCTCTACACATTTTGTGGAAACAGATTTCAGCATGTACAGTAAGTCCTACAATGGAGGGCTCCACTGATCCCTCAGTACAGGGCGCGGCGGGACCGGTCCAACAAGTAGATCAAGGAGACGTGCCTGAGGTGGATGGTGGACTGAGCACACTCACCCGTCTGCACAGTGCACACCCACGGCGATGGCAGAAGAGAAATGACTTAGTGTGTTCAAAGAGAAGTCTGTGGCCTTTTTTTGTTTTATTTTCACCCGGGAGATTCAAACCACCTGTGTCTGTGCTTCACCGAACAAATTAACACCACCCTCGTCGTGATCGGGATACAGAGTGATTAGGGTTAGAAGTGAGCTCGTCTGCAGTTATTCATCATAGACCAACTTATGGAAACCATAACTCCAGCCACATAAAAGCACTGCTCATTCTGTACAGATCAGGCAAGATATTGGCTTCTCTTTGTATATTTTTGTAGGTGTTGAAGATGCATTTTTAGCACAGACTGCGCACCCAGCACGACTCTGAGCTGCAGATGATTCCAATTCACATGATTCTTAAAAAGCACATATTTCTGAGGGGGCCGGGGCTATTAAAATGTTTGGTACTACTAACTTTTACTAAGCAACTTTTCTTACCTTCATTTTGCACAGAAGTTATTGAGTCAAGTCTTGGAAAGATTTACATAGTTTTTTTTTAATGTCTTAAGTGTGTGTGTGTGTGCGTGTGTGTGTGTGTGTGTGTGTGTGTTTGTGCTCCAGTTGCACTCAGTTGCAGGGTACAAACTCACCCTTCAGCATCTGAACACTGACGTTTCAGTCTGGTGTTGCTCTGTAACAAGAAAAGAACAAATCTGGCAACATTTTGGTCTGTTTCTAGAGCTGTTCTGGCCTCCTTACCACCTCTAAGACACTGCTAAAAAAACCCATTCCCAAACATTTAGCTTTCTTTAAATGTACAACTAAATAAATAACATGCATTACATTCTATACGTTAAAACACATTCAGCAGGGGTCAGCAAGTATTCAATCATGGGCTCTTTAGTATATTTATATACAGTATATATTATGGGTTCATTTATTAACTTCCTTGAATATAGGCAGGACTGGATTTAATGTGGTTATGTTTATTGATATAAGCCCAGTGTTAATATTTTTAAACACGACTATTAAACCTTATCTTGTGTCGGGGAGGCTGAGTGGCCAGATTTGGCCCCTGGTCACCATTAGCCTGCCCAGTTTATTTTATGTTGTAAAATAAATGAGTGTTAATAAATTAATAAGCTTAGTATTGGGAGGTCACAGGTCAAGGTCAGTCAGCTATCGCCTGACGGTAATGCCAGTCCAGATCAGTTCATACCCATCTGTGTATCTTATTGGCCAATCTGAGTTGCTGCTGCCACTGCAAAAGCTGTTTTTGCAACTCACCTCAGCTCCTCTTTATCATGTATGTCATTTGTACCCGGTCACATTTTGGACAGAGAGGACAGATGGTTTGAAAGAGGAGTAAAAGAAGCCATCTATGTGCACTGTGAGCGGCCATCTTTGAATAGAGGCGGTGGTTTACGACACCAACTGTCTGCCATCTATAATCCAGTTTTGAGATCCCTTCCCAGACGCCTTAACGCCCACACACATCCTGGGCCATTTGACCTCAGGACATCGCATGAAAGGGTGGGGCTAGGTCTCACAGTGAGGTCACCCGAAACCTTGGCTGATTGTGACCTACACCCGTTTTCACACCTTGGCTCATGTAGAGGATCATTAGAGGGTCCATTGTCCCTCTTGGGGGGGACACTCCCATAGGGCTTAAATCTGGGACTCTTAGAACTGAAGAAGCTACTCTGATGAGAGGTTAAACCTCTTCAAGCAGCTTAAAGAAGTCCAGACGCTTTTCTTTCCAAGCTCCTTAGTCTACACTGACCTGGATGACTGAGAACCTTCACAGACATACCTGGTTCAGTATCTTTCTTCTGCAACGTCCTTCTATTTAGGCTTTCCATGTATGACAACGAGAGGGTGGGAGGTACCAGAGCCATGCCGCCAAATCCAACCTCCTGCAGATAATTTGGATAAAGTGTTTCTTACACAATTATCTTTTTGACTGTTTAGACAAAACAAGCAATATGATGATGTCACTGTTACAAAGTGACAGAACTAATAAAGTGCTAGAATTCCATTCACCAAATATGAAGCACAATCTTCTTGGAAATATTGTGAGATAATTTTACTGAAAAGCCTTAACAAAATCCAAATAGATAAGTTAAATAGGATACATTTTTCACCCATTATCTAGTTTGGTCCTTTCACTTTTGTTTAATTTTTCAGTCTATGAATATGCCGCTGAGTTGAATAAAATGTATATATGCAGAAAAAAAACATTAATCATAATCAACAGTGTCTTTTTAAATGTATTGACAGTAAGGAAAATCTCAAACATCACCAGCCTCTGATTCTCTAAAACCAGCTCCCAAACACAGGGTTAGGGGTCTGCGCTGTGTGAAATAGCCAGCACTGTGGTAATGACGTTCTCAACGGTTACGTTCACGTGCAGTGGAGACACAGATCAGTGTGACTGTGACATGTGCGGTGCTGTGTTAATGTTATTTGGGCACATAATATGACTGGCTTATAATATGACTCTGTATTCGCCCTGCCAGCTGTGGGAGTGGGTGGAAGCAAAGTGTCCAGGGTCATAAATCAGCAGTTGTTGTTCCCACAGGAAGAAGCTCTGTCTGAACCGTCAGAGGGAAAGCAGGACGTGTAGGGAGGGGTGAGCCTGGGGGAAGAAGGTGCTCTGTGAGCTTTTTGGTAACAATCTTAAGTGTAAGTGGCAGGAACTTGGAGTTGGCGTGAGTGAGTGATGAATGTTAATAATATTACATGTGGGCATGCGAGGCTAAAAGTGCCTTGCAGTTTTCACTTGGCTCGGGTGTGCTTCTTGGCACAGCTGACTGAAGTTCTCCCACCACTACCTTTTCCAGCTCCTCCTCTTTGTACAGCCCTGAACATTTACACATGGAAAAACAGGACTCGCAGCACTCCCTGTAACACTGCACGCACACACAGCAAAACAATAAATCTGCTTTTGTCAAAACTCCGTCAGTCTCTTGTGTTTGCTTCAGTCCATTGTTGAATTTTCTCAAAGGCTATTTTAGGACGAACGTTGTGAATCCGAGTTCTATTCCAGGACATCGCACATGCGTGTGTGCACACTTCAAAGTTTGGTAAAACATCTGTTTGCACCACTAACTCTGCTCTTACATGTTTGATGTGTAATTGCTCAGACAGGACTGCTTCTCTGATGCTGTAATTTACACTTGGTTAAACTCCTCCCACACATTATCATAATGACTCTGTAATTAGGTTTATTCCATGTGCTTCAAATTAACTTTTTTTTTTTCATTTTTAAAGAACAGCAGAATGAACAACATCATTCTCTCTGTTTAATATGTCACTAAATGTTGCACTACACATTTGTGCAGAGTTAATTACATGTCCACACATCAGAATCCATACAGAGATGTGAACATTCGCATGTAACAGTCAGTATTTTTTGATTTGTTATTTTTATGTTAATGATAAATGATTATAAAAGATCTTATAAATGACAGTTTTGTCTCTCACAATAAAGTGAAATGTGTTTAAAAATTTTACAAAGGGATTGAAGACACTTTGTACTTTAGGGGAACCCCTTTAACAAAGCTGTTAATCTCCACTGCTTTTGCATTGTCCTCAGTTTATCCCCGTCCCCAGAAGTGTCTGTGATACGCTGTATGTACACACACCAGAAAAAAATCTTAAAATGCAACAAAAGAAAATACTTTTTTTCTTTTGAGGTTTTTTTTTTTTTCATATTTTCACGATTACCTCCATGCTCCTGGGACAGAGTTTTACAAAGGGCTGATATCCTTGTCGATAATACAGAGGACAGTGTAGTGTTGTCGGTGTTGATACAGTGTTGTCTGTATGTAGGTGAGTCTTTCTCAGCTCCATCCAGTCCGGCCAGTTTGCCACAGATACGGGGTCTGAGTTCTTCTAAAAGGGGGAAAGTTCCACCATCAGTGAACCTCAAACAAAAAGCTTTTTTCTTACATTGCAAAGGTTCAGGATAACACAGCACACATTGACCGGCTCACTCGTGCCTGTGGTTAAGATTTCTTCGAATGGGAAGGAAAAACTCTGTCCTGTGATCCATGTGGTTTTTAAACCGTCCAGCATTTTCTGACAGGCCTTTATGGAAGCGTTTGCTTTAATGTGGCTTTAATGCACTGATATAATGGACAGCTAACCGAGGTCATATTTGAATATTTCACTTCCTTTTTTGCCATCTTTCCTGTATGAAAAACAAGCTTCCTTCTGCTTTATTGCCACAAAACATTGTGTTTGTGCTCGCCCTGCATCATTTCACTGTCCTTCTCAGACTGACACCTACAGCTTGGAGATCTGCTGCAGCTGGAAAAGTGTAACTGCTTTTGTTTCATGTTGTATGCTTAGTCATTTAAAAAAGAAAAACGGGGGGAATAAAATCCCACACTTACAATAAAGAGTAAAGCTGGACATACAAAGTGAATGTACCAAGTCTGTCCCATATTCAGCAAGTGAAAATAAAATAAACAAAAGGTGAATCAAATGGACCATTACGGCAAGCCTGGGATGGTCAATTTGGTAAAGTAAATCCGTTGGGCACAATCTTACTAGAGGCATCATCAGCTAGACTGCATCCTTAAACAACCATGAGCACCTCACAACTCCACAAATAGTTAATTCTAGTATTCCTTTAAGCAGCCGTGTCTTGAAAAGTGGCCCATTTAAGGGCTAATGACCCAAATGTTTCATGCAGGTATGGTCCAGACTGGATTTATTCTCTTGATAATGTTTGAGTGCTCGATGTTTTGGCAAAAAAGGTTCACACTGAAGTGCTATTGCATTGATATTTGAATCAGTTGGGGGTTTTTTTTATGCCTCAGTAATGCTGGTAACAGCTAGCCTTGTCAGAGATTCCCAGACTAAGTTATGCCACAGGTTTCTCCTTCTGCACACACAAATGTATCTTTCCCTTAACACTAAAAAAAGAACAAGTGCGTTGTGTGTGCCTTCCTTGGAGCGTTAATCTGTCTCTAATGTAAATGTTTTGTGTAAACTGCTGAGTTTAGTTTAGATCTGTGTCTGGATGCTGAGACAGTTCAGTGGGTGGTAGATCGTATGAGTGGGAGTAAGCAGCTCACTCGTCAGCACTCTTCTTTGTTGTTGTCCACGTGCTTCAGTGAAACTGTGTGAACCAAGTGGGAAAATATCAGAGACCTCTGACCTCCACTCCTGAAGACTGTCATTGTCAGCCAATCTGAGACTTAGGTGAGATTTAGCTTTTGATGCAAAGCTGCATATTTTTCATACATTACAGTATACTGTTTAACTAGCAAGAGGCTTGTGACAGGCAAAACAAAAGGTAACACCATCTTCTCATCTACTGTATGACGCGCACGCTGCACTGTCAGCTGTGCTTCCTCTCAATGATTTATTCAATGTATTACAGGCTGAATGTACGCCCAGTGTGCTGTTGCATCTCTCTCTAAAACTTTAAGTCTATTGCCGTCTTTCATTCTCAAAAGAGTTTTTGTATGGTTTATGGTCTGTGGCTGTTTTTATTTTTTGTGGTTTTGGCATGGCTCCTTGTTTCCACTAAAGGAATTTGCTACAGCATATAAGAATCACTTGTTTGCAGCAGGACAACAGAAATTCCTGTCTGAAGATAATAAAGTTGGGTCCACATAGAAGACTGAGCAGCAGAAATGTGGGCTGTTGACATGTATGTAGATTATTAGTGCCTGTGTATCTGTGCTCATAGTACAGTCACAGCAGATCAGTCCCCAATATCCAGACTTCTGCTGCCCTCTAGTGAGTAGAACCATGTTAGTACAGTTGGGGAAAAAAAGAAAGAAGACGTTTTGTCCTCATGCTAAATAGACCGTTTTTCAGAAGACTACACTTCAAATACTGTCAGTTACATTCTGGATTTTGAATATTAAAATATTTTCCATGCATGTGTGGAAAACATGCAGAAACCTGTTAAATCCTAACCCTAAATGGCCACAGGTGACCTAGTGGCTGTCACAAGGTTAGCAGATGAGATGTTCTTGACAGTTTTCACATTTAAGTCAAAGTCTTCTTTAACAAGTTATTTAAAATACATATTTGAAGGATGTGGGTAATTTTTTTTATGCTGCTTTATATTTTCCCTGCATTTCAAGGAAGGAAAATATAATACTTTTGAGCTCATTACAGTTATTTTACAGCTGTGGTTGTTTTTCTCTGCAGTCCACAATAAATCACAGCATAATATAATTAAACTTTCCAGCTGCATTTCCCTAAGGAAAGATTACTTGAAAGAAAGAACATAACATGTACTGAAGTTTGAGAAATAATCAGTTTGGCGATTAGAGTCAGATATAGCAACAGTGTGGTGTCCCAACAATGGATGGTTGTAATAGAAGAGCCCCTGATTCTGGGCACTGCTGGTGGTAGTGACGCATGCAGCTGACAGCTGGAGACTTGGATTGGAGGCTTTGTGAGTGACCAGGTTGAGATGGAAATGGTGAGGAAGCGGTTCACCACAAACATGTCTGAAGGACTGAGAGACAGAATAGTAGTGATGGGCAGATGAAGCTTCATGAAGCACTGAAGCTTTTCATCCATTTGGTTCACCCCAGCGCAAAGCGTCTTGAAGCTTCATTTGCTCTAGCAGGACACCTACTGGACGTAAAAATATTAGTTGGCATGAATTTGAAGAGTGTGGCCTTTTGCACACAGCCTGTAAATGTCAACAACAAAAGGAGTGTGTAAAACATCTATATTGTAGTGATGGCAGTATACTGTGTATATTTACACTGGCAGTATGGACAATGATCATTTGGAAATGCTTAAAATGGAAACAATCATTTACTGTGAGGTGAGGTGTGGTTGGGGTGTGGACAGTAGTTGTGCTTTTGTAACGTTGAGGTATGGACAGCTACACACTGAGGCTTTGAGCCTCAGTCCTGCCTGTTCACATTTTATTCTGTAAAAACCAAATTTTCACTGCTTTTATGACCTTTTTAGTGGGGAGAACATAGCTGGGATTTAACGATTTAACAAATCTTTTGAATCCTTTGTCCTCCACAATGCTAAATGGCTGGGAGTCCTCAATCACCATGCTAACCAGGTCTTCATCTATTTGAGATTGTTCTCCTGAGGAAAGACAACAAAAACAAAGCACAAATATAAATATCACACACGTAACTTATTACAGTTGTATAATATTGTTATATCATTTAGTAACATTACTGCATGCTATATTATCATTGCATTTGATGGCTCACCTGGTCTTGCTCCACAATCGGTGTTCCTCTTATTCTCATGCAAAGCTCTGTAGTGCCTAAGCATGGATGAGGTGTTGTTGTTATATCCCAGCTCCCTGGCACATAGCAAACACTTCACCTTGTACAAAAGTAAAAGCTGCTTAACATAAGTTTTATTGCACCATCAGTATTATGAAAATACATCTTCTGTAGAAATTCACATACCTTGTTGGGAGGAATAAAATCAAAATGTTCCCACACAGGGGAGGACATCCTCCTCTTCTTAGCTGCCTCCATTCTCTCCTGACTTTCTCTCCTCACTCTCATAAACCTCCAAACTGTCTCCAAACTCTCACTAACCGCAACTCTCCATCAAACACCCACATTTTGACTGAAGTCTGAGGGGTTTATATCGCTGTCATAGCTCGTGGCAAATTTCGAACCACTTCATGAACCAGTCACGTGGTACAGCCGGGCAGCTCCCATAAATGAAGCAAGCCTCGATATGCGCATCGCGGAAACGCCCCTCAATTACTCGACACAAGCTTCGAAGCCTCGATACAGAACGTCACCTCACTACAGAATAGCACTGGGATGGAAAGCACAGAGAAGAGAGGCTGATTGGCAGAAGGCAAACCAGAGTGATCCTGCAGGGTTTCCTTCAAATTGGAAAACATCTCTAAATTGGCTTTTGGCTTTAAGTAAAACAAGCAAGTACATCGTCTGTAAGGTTCTCAGTCATGGTCATGGTAATGTAGGGAGC